TTTAAACTCTGAATAAGTTTATATGAACTGTCAATGTTATGTAATTATTTTTATTTTGAACCTTATGTTATGCAAACAATTTTTTTCAACGTGTTAACATACTTACTCCATTACCGTTACGGTATGTGTTTGATTATAAACAGAGCTTTATGAATACACAAGAAAAAAATGACCATCAACAAAAAAAAAAAGGACAACAAATCCTTATTTTGTATTATTTAATATGATTATAACAACAAAAAAAAAGGAAATTTCTTATTTAAATGTTAGAAAATTTATGTCCTTTTACTTTTTAGGCTATAAAAACTTATCAAATATTTTTCGCACATTTTAAAAAGATCACATGAAAAATATTTAGATTGAATGAAATTTAATCAGATTAACGCACATTTAAGGAAATTTTGTTTATTTTTTTTTATGTGTTTTTAATAGGTTTGAGTAACATGTTGAATAAATTTTATGGTTTCATAATGAGGAACCTAAGCTGATTTTGTAAGCTTTTGAATATATGAATGTATTTATGAAGTTCTTCAACTAAAAATTTAATATTAAGAGAGATTTTAAAGTTTAATGAAAATGTAGGTATTCAAAATGAAAATTTTACAATATTAAGTTGTTAATTTAATACGAAATAGGTCGTGTCTGTGCGAGAACAGTTGGAAATGCAAATATAATTTGGGTGGATTGCTGATCATTACGCTCAAATATCATTAGAAGTAGTCATTATTTTTAACAGTTAGGACAGAAAATTTGAGCATTTCAATAGAAAATCTTATTTCTTTACTGGAACGTTCAAATAAATTAAATACAAAAAAAATGTTTACAAAAATTCTACTTTGTTTGTCCTTTACTGGAATACGTATTTGATTGCAAAATTTTAAGCATTTATGTTTCTCGTAACAATTATGCGAAAATAAAAATGAAAGTTTTATGTAAAATTTTTTTATTATTTTGAATTTATTAATGATGTAATTCCAATATTGAAGTTAAAAATATGAAGTTGAAGGTAAAAAATTCATCATTTCGTTTGTAATTTTGAGAAAATATGGTCTGAGATCATTTGATATAATTTAACGGTGATAAATTGTGATCGATTTGGAATTATTTTCTCATCTGCTCACATATCTCTTCATCCGTCGCAAAGGTAACCCAAAACATGAGGTTTATTGAATTTTCAAAACTACTTAGAGTAAAAGTGAGTGCCAGAGCACTATTAAATTAGAATACGATTCGGCAGTTCTTGTATGCAATTTACTAATTTAATAATTGGTATTGTTTCATAGAATGAAACACACTGATATGAAAATTTGCTAATGTGGAAGCCCTAGTCCAATACGTTTTGTAATATTAATAACAGTACACAGAGTCAATATTTCGATTCAACAATTGAACTTTTCATCATTGCATAATGGAAACAATTTTTTTATACAATTTTAACTGCTAAGCTAACAAAACTTTAAAAATTTATTTAATATTATTTTCTAGATTGAATCATCGCTACAACATTTTGGAAGTTTAATGAAAAAAATTGTTGTGATTAATTTTAATTGATTTTAAAATTGCTTCTATTTTTTCCATTTTATATTGATATTATAATTTTGTATTTTAGAAATATTAAATATAATGTCGTGTGCCCTGATTTATTTTTTAAAAATGAAAAAAGCAAAATAAACAATTTTTCTTTAAAATTGCCTTGAAAATTACTTTTCTTCAATGAAAAATCATTATTTGAATTAAAATGGATGGAGTTGGAACAATATAAAATAAAATTTTATTGTGTTGGTTATTCCTAGAAACGTCTTAGAATATTATAGAAAATATTTAAAATTAAAAAGATCTAATCAATAATATAGTTGAGAACAGCAGGAGAATTTAATTTTTTTTTATTCTTTCATTTTTATATTAAATATTTAAGAAATTTCCTTTTGATTTTTCTGTATATTCGGGGATTTCATGATATAAATGTAAATTTCAAATATCTTTTTTGTTACCATTTTAGGAAATAAAAATATTTAATATTTTGAATAGACTTTTTTATGGTACAATAGAGAAGTGTTAGAATTCATTAGTTTTCTTTTCAAATAAAATATAATATTTTTTTTTTTTTCGTTTATTTTTATTTATATGTATAAGGGTTTGTTATTTAAGAAAATCAAGGATAATTGTAAAGTATTCAACACGAATACGAATAAGAAAGGGAACAAAAATCAAGAAAAATAATAATAATAATAATATTAAATGATTATTTAAATGTAAAAATATTTCAGTTCCAAGTAAGATAATTTTAACCTTTTTTCAACCCATCAGGAAAATTTTACCCATGATTGTGTTTTATACTAAAAATTAAACAAAATTTTCTTATGTTATTTTGAAGTAAAAAAAATAAATCGGAAGAAGAACAGAAAAATATTAACAATAACAGAAATTAAACATCTATAAATTTTTGCAAAGTCTATTTTTGTCAATCATTAATCTGAAACACATAAATAAAAATATTTCAGAATATCGTCGACTACAGAAAGAAATTAGAAAGGAATGTCGGAGGGCAAAAGCAGATTGGCTAAAGAATGAATGCGAACAAATCGAAGAAATACAACGTACACACAATGATTTCAGCCTTCACAGAAAAATAAAGGAAATCTCAGGACAATATCGTAAATCAAATCCATCTATTTTGGTAAATCATAGAAACCAAATAATTGTTGACGCTGAAGAAAGAAAAGATTTCTGGGCAAAATATATCGAAGAAATATTCTCAGATAACAATAGATTTGGTATTTCTGATAACAACCATGGAGGTAGGCAACTTACGGGACCGTCTATAACACGAGATGAGATTCGTAAAGCTATCCAATTATCTAAAGATAACAAAGCTGCTGGACCAGATGATTTGCCGGTTGAAATATTAAAACTTATAAATGAGGATAAATTGGTGATTTTGGAAAAATTATTTAACCATATTTACGATAGTGGACAATTTCCGACAGATTGGCTAAAATCCACCTTCATACCGTTACCAAAAAAGAACAATGCCAAAACATGCAATGAACATCGTTTAATAAGCCTGATGAGTCACGCCTTAAAAATATTTTTGAAAATACTGCATAATCGAATCTATAAGAAATGTGAAAAAAATATGGGTATGACCCAGTTTGGATTCAAAGATGGAACAGGAACGCGAGAAGCACTATTTAGTATTCAAGTTTTGGTACAAAATTGTCGCGATGTTAGGAAAGATGTATTTTTATGTTTCATCGATTATGAAAAGGCGTTTGACAATGTCAATCACAACAAAATGATGGAAATATTAGCTGATATGTTCATTGATGAGAAAGACATGCGCTGCATACAAAATCTATACTGGCATCAAAATGCGCATGTTAGAACAAAAGATGGCATCACAAAAGTAGTGGAAATAAAAAAAGGAGTTCGACAGGGTTGCATACTATCACCGCTTCTATTTAACATCTATGCCGAAGCGATTTTTCAAGAAGCAATCGAAACAATGCCAAAAGGGATAAAAGTTAATGGCAAATACATCAACAACATTCGATATGCAGACGACACAACCCTAATTGCCGACAATATGAATGATCTTCAATTCTTAGTTGATCAAGTAAACCAACATAGCAAAGAATACGGTCTTCACATAAATGTAACAAAAACAAAATTTATGATTGTAAGTAGAGATAAAACCCCATTTCTAAATGCCAAAATCCTAATAAACAATGCACCGATAGAACGAGTCAACAGTTTTAAATACCTTGGTTGCTGGCTTACAGAAGAATGGAGCTCTGAAAAAGAAATTAGGTGTAGAATAGAAATGGCACGTAACTCTTTCTGCAAATACAATAAAATCTTTACTAGCAGAGATATAAACATAAATTTGAGACTGCGGTTTCTGAAATGCTATGTTTGGTCAGTTCTACTCTACGGTATGGAATGTTGGACCTTAGGGGTTCCGTTAATGAACAAATTGGAAGCCTTTGAAATGTGGACATACAGGAAAATGCTCCGAATATCATGGACAGAACACGTTTCAAATTATGAAGTCCTTCAAAGAGCACAAACAAAAAGGGAACTACTAAGGACCGTAAAGCAAAGAAAAACTTCGTATTTCGGACATTTTATGCGCGGAGAAAAATATCAGCTTCTTCAACTTATTATTCAAGGCAAAATTGAAGGCAGAAGAAGCGCTGGCCGGAAGCAAATGTCCTGGTTACGCAACATACGGAACTGGACTGGTATCCGAAACATTGGCGATTTGATGCGCACTGTGGAAAATCGAGAAGAGTTTAAAGAAATTGTTTCGCAAATTACTTAAGCATCCAAAGTAATAGTAACAACAGCAATAGTAACAGCAACAATTAACTACAAACATATGATTCGCTTACATCCACCTCATGGATATGCAGACAAGAGAGAGAGAGATTAATCTGACATTAGAAATTTTCGTGACTAGGCCCTGTGCAATACCATATAGAACCACTGTACAGATATCGTCGTCCATTTAAAGGTTAACATTTTTTTTGCGTAATTAATATGTGTGTGTTGAAAAAAGCTACAAAATTCTGAAGGCGGAATAAATTTGTATTTTATTAAAAAAAGTGTTAATAAATCAGAAGATTGGAAAAAAGGATGTCAAAATAACATAGATATAAAAATGACTCTAGCATTGTCTGTAAACGAAACGCTAAATAAATTTATTTTATTATTAAAATTTCACAAAATTAATTAAAAATTTTATTAAAATAATATTTATTAAGAAATAAAAGTGTATACGAAATTAATTTTTAAATATCAATTTTTATATTTTATTTATTCTTCGAATCGATTTTCGAAATTTAAGTTTTACATTTCTACAAATTTTATTTTTGTAAAATTTATTTTCGAAAAATTGCTGTTATCATTATGTTTGTTAGATAAGCTTTATTCTAAAACATAATTTGATATAGTCACCTAGGACCTAGGTAATAAGTACATAAATTATACTTACTTACCTTTAATAAAATCAACAGCCATTTCTAAACCATAAGAATCTTTATCACAATCATCTAATATATGAGCACCTAAACGTATATTTGGCAAAAATTTTGCTTCATTAATACGATCAATTGTATATAGCATAGCCTCTAATGCTTGTATACCACCTTGTGGCATTATTGGACCGCACATAATTGTATCCTCACGTGAATGAACCATCATTAAACCACCTAATATAACATCACCTTCAACAGTTGCTTCACGTTTAACTGGCCAATGTATATTATAATGTTCATGATATTCAAGAGTATCTGGTAATGATCTAAATACCATACTTTTAATACGTTGTTTTTGTTCTTGTTGCATTTTTTCACTTGTTGTAAAATGATTTATTTTTATATTATTTGTTAATATTGTTGCATCATCATCAACATATTCATCATAATTATTAATATTATCATCATTATTATTTAATGATAATTGTTGTTGTGGCATAATTGTTGTTTTTAATGAATCTTTATTTAACATTAAAGGATATTTAAAATTTTCTTCTATATTTAATTTATTATTTACATTAAAATGATTATTATTGTTATTATTTAAATTTATTTTATCATAAATTTGATAATAATTATTATTTTTAATATTATTAATAGCACCATTTGGTGTTTCATGAATATTTGTACTACTTATACTATCACTATTATTTTTTATACTATTATGATAATTATTATTGTAAAACCTGTTTTTACTATTACTATTATCATTATAATTTATATATCTATTATTATCTACATTATCCTTATTATTATTGTAATTAATATTACTAGAATTATGATTATCTTTATCAATATTATCAATGAAATAATCAGTCGAATAATAATGACGATTGCTGTTTCTTATACTATGATATTGATTATGATATGAATATTGTTTCTTATTTTCGATATTATATTGATTGTTGTTCTTGTTTTCGATATTATAAATATGTTCAGTATTGTCTTTATTATTATGATATGACTGAACAAATCCCATATCTTTTTCATTTTCATATTTATTATTTTTTTTTAAATAATATTGTTGTTCTTGGTATTTTTCATCATCATTATTATTATTATTGTTATTAGAATCCTGATATTGATTATAATTTTTTCTATATTGATTATTTATTTCATAGCGATCTTGAATATTGCGATGACGATGATGATTGTGATGATTCAGATATTTACGATGATTTTCTTGATGATGATTATTGGCATGATGTTGTTCCTGGTGTGTAGTGGGTTGATTATGTGAGAAGAATTTTTCACAATATTTTTTGTCGAAATTATTTGAATTAAGAAGAATATTTTCCTGATCACTACTTGCAATTGGAATTCTTTTTATATTTTTGTTATTTTGTTTATGATGATGTTTTCGATGTTGATGACGTTTTCTATAACGTTCATGATGACGTTTACGTTGATATTGTTCTTCTTGTAATCGTTTTACATTAAGTTCCTTTTTGTTATTATATTGTGAATGATGATGATGTTGATAATGATGTTTATGGTTTCGACGATGTTGATGTTTTGAATAATACTGTTCTGGAAATTCTTCTGTTGTTGATATGGTTTCTTGGAAAATTAGTTTATCATTATTATCATTATTATTTTCACTACTAGAATAATTTATATTTTCTGTAGATCTAACTATTCTTGGTGACGTTAAAATTTTGGATGGCATTATTTGATTCTGAATATAATATAATACAATATAAAAAAAAGTTTTCATTAAGGATATTATAGTTTTGATTGAATATTATAATTTTTACTTTATATTTTTCATGATAAATCGCTATATCATGTGACTGTTGCGGATCATTGTATATTCTATGGTAGGTGTAATTCTCTTGATTATTTTTCATATCTGATGATATCCCAAATGTTCCTTGTAATATTGGTGTTTTGGTGAGATTTCTTGACTCTAATTTTAAATAGAAATATTGGTATAAATTGTACGTAATTATATACTACATGTATTCAAGTCATTATGACAAGTATTTTATAAACAATATGTTTATTATAAATTTAATTTTGAATAATGAAAAGGATTTAATAATAAATCACAAGATGCTTTTATTGAAATAATTTTCAATGATTTTTGACTGACTGATGCTAAAGAATATAAATTAAAGTTATTGTATTAAAAACTAGTTAGTCACCATGACAAATTGATGAAAAATATATAATTTTGGTGAATAGCTTTAGTGTCACATTCTGATAGTATAGAATAAATCAAGCACAAGTGTCATTGATTAATTGAAATTTAATTGTACTTTTGTTTTCTTTTGTACAATTCGGTTTTGTGAATTTCAAATATTTTGTACCGACTTTAATGTATTTAATTGACAAATTTCCATTTTGTAATGGAGATAAAAAAAAAACCACTTCTTTTAATTCTTTATGTCGAATTTCTCATGATGTGATTCAATAAATTTCGAAAACATTTTAACGTAAAGCTAAAAATGTAAATTTCTGCCAGTTTATTTGGTTTTTAATGTCTTAATTAACATTAAACTTAAATAAAAAGTTTCCTGAAAACGAAAAAATGAAAATTGAAATGAACATTTTTCCTTTTTAATTTCTTTTTTTAAATGTTTGGAAAAAGTATTTCTGTGTTATCATTAATGTCGTTTTCACAAAATTAATTTATTCTTTTCTCAGATCAGTTGAAAACACATCAACAGAATGAAAAAAAAAGTAAACAAGTAGGGAAAAACGTTTTTGTTGTTTTCACTTCAATTTTTTTTTTAATTTGCTCTATTCTACTTGAAGGATGTTGCTGAAATTGGTTGATACAATAAATTTTTTTCTCTTTTTTTTGGATATTATGACTACCAAAAAAGCGGAAATGTTGAAAAGAATTTCAGAAAAAAAAAGATGAGTAGTAAGTGGTATGTCATTCTTTTCAACATAAAATCAGCCAAAAATATTAAAAAATTCCAAAGATTTAAGGATGAAAAGGAAAAAAAAACAATAAGCAAATGAGAAGAACAAAATAAAAGAAATTTGAAACACATGTAACGTTTCTTTTTAAATGTTTTTTCCCATTCAAGTTTCTCATCCGTCTTATCCGCTCTTTAGCTCTCTTTTTCTGTTTTTTCCATTACCTTAAATTTTTTTTTTCTTATTTTAATAGTTTGTTTTCTTTTCTTTCTGATTTCATTAAAAAAAAAAATATTTATGTTTCACTTTTTTTCCCCCTCTCTCTCTTTTTTTATTGTTTTGTTTAAAATCTCAATTTTATCAACACAAAAAAGAAAAAACAGAAAAAAGAAACAATTTTTATTTTTGTTGCATCAGTTTTTCATTTACCTGCCCATTGTTGTTGATTACTGTTACGACGGTAACGGAGACCATGATGTTGATGAAAATGCTGACCTTCAAATGGTAACTTTGAATTTTCATCATAATCATTATTATTAACATAAAATTTATTATTATCCTTAAAATCATCATTATTTTTGGTAATCGTATCATCATTACTTTTGTACAATGATGGAATTGATAATGGTGATAAAAGTGATGTAGATGATGTTAACGGTGATGATGAAGATGATGATGTTGTTGTTTTTATTGCGGTTGATATTCTTGTTCCTTCAATATTATTAAGTTGTGTTGTTGATATTGTTCTTGATGATGATGATAATGATGACAATACTTTTGATAATACTGGAGTTGATTCTGTTGTAATCCATGATAGAAATGTTGAATTTCTTAATGCTACAGATGGTGCTTTTTCATTTCGATTTGAATTTCTTTTTGTATTTTGATATGATATCGTTGTTGATTTTGTTGTTGATTTTATTGGTAACGATGTTGATGTTTTTGTTTTTTGTAATAGTGAACTTTGTGAGGATGGTAATGGTATTGGTAAGGGTTTTTCTGTTTCTGTATTTATTATATTACGACTGTTTTTTGGTATTTGTAATAGTTGAAGTTGACGATGTTTTTGTTGTTGTGAATCAATCAAATATTTGTCATAATCATCATCATCATGATTTTTGAAATGATTATTGAAAATTTGTTTTTGTAATTGTAATTGAGTTTCATTTGGTATTTGTAATTTTTCTGATATAAAATTTTGATTACCATTTTTATAAGTTTTTCTATTAAAACTATATTGAAGATAATGACGATATTTTTTATGATTTTGATTTTTGTGTTTTTTTTGTTGTGATCGTTGTTTTTTAGTAATTTGTGTTTCTTCAAAATAATCAAAGCTATGACGATACTGATTACTACTACTGTGCTGTTCTTTCCGATATTTTTTTATTTTTAACAATTTTTCTTTTTGTTTATCATATGCAATATGTTTTTGGTGATGAAAAGATGGAATTTTAATTTTTTTGAATGAATTTTCTTCTTTTCTAGATAATGACAGTAAAGTTTTTGTTGGAAGAATTTTTGTTATTGTTGTTGGTGTTGTTGTTGTCCTCGTTGACGTTGTAGTTATTATTGGTTTTTTTGTTACTGGTAACGGTGATGATATTGTTGTTGGAAATGTTGATAAACGAATCGATGATTTATATATTTGTGATAATAATGATGAAGATTTTATCGTTGTTGCTGTTGCTTCTGTTGTCGATGGTAAAAATTTTAATGCTGTATTATTTAATTTTAAACTGTCATTTGAAATTCCAATTATTAAATTGCTTGCTATTAATAACAGCATAAATGTCAGTTTTGTAACATTTAAGCGTAAAATAGGTGTCATTATAATATTGAAAAATCATAGAATATAAGTTTTGTTGTTGTTATTCATATAATGTACACGATTTCATATTATTCTATATTTGAATAATTTTCAATTTCAAAATTTTCAATTATATGAAAAAAATTTGTTTTGTGTTTGATTTATTTTTATTCTGCATATTAAAAAATGCTTTTAAATTTTTTATTAATTTTGTTTTAATTAATTTTGCAATTAAGTCATTATAGTGCAATAAATCGAACAGAACTTTGAAAAAAAAAATAAAATTTAAATAATTTTTCACTTCCAAAACACTAATTTTAACATTTTTTTAAAAAAGATTTCTGTTGTTTTTTTTTTATGAATTTTCAATTCAAATGTTTAATATAGAGGAGCGAAATACTTATCTGAAAAATATATTTAAGTAAAAAATTAAAAACATGAAAACTTTTTTCGTTAGAACGAGAAAAAAAATTTCAAATTTTCCGTTTTCATTTTTGTTGTACAAAAAGAAAAAATGTGAAAATAGAATTGAAAAAAAATTAAAAAAATATTTAAAAAAAAAATAATCAAAAAAGTTGCAAATATCCTTTTATGCTTTGATTTTTTTTTGGAATTTTTTTCTGAAATTGATAAAAATTTTATAAAAATATAATTTCAGTATTTGGCTCTTTTTAGTTTAAGTTTATTGATTAAA